AGACTATCTACTGTGATGGTGAATTTAGACCAGTTTTTGATGATGTTAAAGATGAGATGAATGTTGATATGAATTATGCGAGCCGGGGGGAACACGATCCCACGGCGGAACGAAACAACCAACATATTAAGGCGTTGTTTCGTGTCCAATACCATCACATGCCGTATAAGGCCATTCCGAGGATTATTACTGAAGCTATTGCAAAACGAGTTGCACAGACTTCCAACTTTTATCCCGCCAAAGGGGGTATTTCGGCTTATTACAGTCCTCATATGATTTTGTTGCGACGCCAAGTTGATTACTCAAAGGAATTTGTTGCTGAACTTGGGTCGTATGTCCATGGTTATGGACATGATACTCGCAGTGATCATCGGTCACGCACTATTGAAGCGATTTACTTGGGACCAGCTGATAATATGCAAACAGGTCACAAGCTATATGATTTGAACACGAAAAGAGAGGTAACTAGACCTCGAATTACGGTGCTCCCAATCACTGATCAAGTGATCAAATTGGTTGAAGCCCATGCTGCTGAGGAAGGCGTTACAGATTTACGAACCTATTCCAGACGCAATGGAGAAATAATTTTGGATGCTGATCTGCTCGCAGGAGTGGACCCAGATGAACTGTGGGACGAAGATTATGTACCTGCAGATATTGTGATTCCACCGGTCAATGACATGAATTTACGCAAGAATGATGCAATCACAGATGAAGAACTCGAAGAACTAATCGAGGATGCAGCCGAAGATATACTGGAATCTAGAAGAATTGATGATAAGAGACAACATGAATATGATGAGGCAGATAGAACTGTCGACCGCATGCTGCAAAGAATTAAGAGACGTCAAGAAGAAGACGATGAAGACGATATGGATTTCGTGCAGGATCAGCAACCTGAAAGCGATATTGAAATGGATATCGATGATGAAGAATTAAAAGATATGATTGATGAAGTAGCCCATGAGTTGGATAGATTGAGCCAACCCATTGAAGAAGAAATAATGTTCAGCGTTGAAGATGAGGACGATGACTATGAGGGTGAATTTGATGCGGAAGAAATACAAGAACTGCAAGAAGCAGAAGACGGACCGCAAGTATATCCTGACGAAGAAGATGATGTTCGTGCAGGAGTGAGGTTTGAAGAAGTCCCCGTGTTGAATACAACAGATGATTCAAATAAAGACAAGAAAAGGAAAACACGAAGTGGACGATCATTTTATTCAAACGGAGTCAAGTATCGACCCACAGATAGGAATCGAACTGACAGACCAAGACATGGACAAACGTACTTACAACGAAAGAAGCCCAGGATCAATTTGTTAAAGAACAGGAGTGCCACGAGAAAGAAGGCACGGTTGAAGAGATTACGTATCTCATTATACCAGGCTATTGCGTCAAAGGTAAAATCACGAAAGAAAGGAGAGTTTTGGGATGACAACGTGTTGAGCGCTGAAGCAAGAAGAAAGATTACTGAACGGGCGCATAACTTAATGCACCATCAGGTAACTGCCGCCGTTTTTCCCACAGAAAAACGTCCTCTGCTTCCCTCAGAAGCAATTTCACAAGTCTCTGCCAATTCATTGGCATTTTGGCCCATTGCAACACCCACCCTTGCGATCTGGCCCAGTCCTTTCCGACACCTACAGTTGAAGACCAGAGTTTTAGCAGGCAGCGGCACATAGATCGATTTATTTTAATAGACTGAAACTTGTTCTGGATTTTGTACACTCGTGAGTACAACTTCCCGCAGTCCTTCCCAGCAGCCCCAGAGTTGATCGTTGTTGCGTGCACAACGACTTTTGGCGTGCTGCATTCTCTTTTTCCACTTGACAACCAGCCAGTTTTCGACCGGGCACTTGTTGATCGTTGGAGCACAGGGACGCCTATACCCGTAAAGGTCAAGGGGTTTCATCCTCTTGTAGTCTTCTGCAGTCAGTCTCTTACAGACTCAGAAGACCTGTCTCCGTATTCACACCTGCAATCGACCAACTTCGGTTAGGTCATTTTCACTTTGCTGGTTGTTGCATACGGGGATAACCGGATCTACGAAGGTCAAGGGAGATTAAAAGTCCATAGAACACGGACCACTCCTTGTTCCAATTTTTGGGACCTTCATCTCTGTCCTGACCTGCACTGCCGTTCAAGCAAACCAGGAAAGCCTAACCGCAATCCTTGGGACTAGTGTGACCGTAGGGTATCCACTAATAATAATAACTGAGACATTAATCGTTAATATGCTACTCTATGGGCATTCGATTGCCGGTGAAATATTCGGCTGTAAAGGTCAAGTACTGTGAAGCGGTGAGTCAACAACAAGTTTGAACCAT